TTTTTTGTTTCGTTTGCGCTCCGCGGGTTGTGCCTGCGTTGTGTGCTGGACGCCGTGCGTGGTGCCCCCCGGCCGCGGTCGTCGGCGGTGGCGCCGCGTTTGTCTCGTTGGATCCGACTGCACCCCTTCTGCTTTCCTCTATCTTTGTCGCGCGCGCGTGCGGGTGTGTGTGTGTGTGCGCGCGCTGCCGAGCGAACCCCGCCGTAACGAAAACCCCCACACAGAGAAGGAGAGAATAGATAGAGTGAAGGAAGGTTGTGCCCTGTTTTGAAAGGTGTGTGTGTGTGGGCTGGAGTGATTACGCATACACCCGCAGGGCATACACACAGAGACACACAGACACTTCTCTCTCCCTCTGTCTGCCTGTCTCTCTCTGTGTGTGTGTGCGTCTCCGCTCGTGTCACCCGCTAGCCACTCTGTAAGTGGTGCGTGACGGGGCGATAGTATATTTTCGTTGCGCACCTTAGCGAAACACGCACAGCCATGCCGGTAGAGGGGCCTGCTGCCAACCCGTTGCACAAGTCGCCGCAGCCCCAGGAGGCGCAGCAGCTGCAGGAAATGGCACGCTCGGCCACCAGCAGTGGCAGCTGTGGGGGCGTGCCTCCCACGCACATGCGTTCACTCTCCGAGAAGAGTGCCAAAATGTCAAAGTGGAGGCCACCTTCACCACAGCAGCAGCCGCAGCCGCAGGGGCAGGATTTGCATGGCACCCCGCAGGGCCAAAGCAGAAATGAAATCAATGGGATGTCTCTTTTGCCTCGTGAAAGCAGCGCAGCAGGAAGTGCAAGTGGTGGCTGTGGCATCGTCGGTGGGGGCTCTCTCACGCCACCGTCGTCGAGGCGCAACGTTGGATCAGCGGACCCAAGTGCGGCGCTTGTCCGGCGGGCAGCGCGAGCACTGCCAACCGATGCGGCACCCGCTGCGAAGCCGGCNGATCAGCGGACCCAAGTGCGGCGCTTGTCCGGCGGGCAGCGCGAGCACTGCCAACCGATGCGGCACCCGCTGCGAAGCCGGCAACAGCACGACCCTCCTCCTCAACGGGGCCTGTGCCTGCTCGATTCGATTCACCCTTGACCAACAACGGCAGCAACAGGACGAACCATTATAACATTAGTGGCACGGGTGACAGCGGCTGCTGCGCCAACAAGGGCAACAGAAACTTGGGTGCCCCCCCGCTGCCTGCACCGTCGCAACTGCGGATGCTGGCAGCGTCACGGCAGCGCGAGCGCCCGCCCGTCGTCTCACCGAAGGGATACAGCTTCAGCGCCAGTCTCGCCAAGAGTGCCACTCTGTCTGGTGATACTCGTCGCCATCCGTCCAGCGTCCTTGCTGCCCGTGAGATCATTGAGCGGGAGCGGCGACGCTTGTCGATCACCGACCTCGAACGTGACGCAAAGAATGCGTGCATAGCGTCGTCGCCCGTCCTAGCCGCGATCACGCCACTCTCCGGTGACTCCGGCAGCGGCAGGGTGCGGATGCGATTCCCGTCGCTGCAGAAGGAGATGCCGATCATACGGCTTCAGCTGGATCTAACAAATCCCCAGCAGCAGCAGCAGCAGCAGCAGGAGGAGGAGGGTGATGTATATGATCAGATGAATGAGGGGGTGAAGCTAAGGGCGTTTCCAGATGTTTCCCGGATCAATAAGGAGGAACAGGAGGCACAAGGGATGGAACGACGTGTGTCGAATCATGCGCAGCGACAGCAGGAGCAAGAACGCGGGGAGCGGCAAGCACAAGAGGTCTCGAAGAGGCTTTTTCCGGTGTTGGATGGGAGCCCTCTGCACTCCATATTCACGGATAACGACACCGCTGCTCCTTCCTCCGGCTCTGTTAATGGGACAAGGTGCCGCCACTCAGCAGTTGGGGGGGGACTGTCGCCAAGCGAGAATGACGACGCCGCCTCGCCGTTGAAGAACATCATTTCCTCCGAGGCCCAACCGGTGATGTCGAACATGATGGTGAGCCCAGCGGCCACCGACACGACGGAGTTTGACAGTTTTCCCATGCGCACCTCGCTCTCCCTCACGTTGCCGCTGGCGAACCCTACTGGTGATGTCGCTGCTGGTGGTGGCGGCGGCGGCGATGGTGGTGGTGGTGGTGGTGCTGAGCGGCACAGTCGCCGCCAAAGCGATACCACGATCATCGCAAGGGGCATAAAGAAGCACTACAGCGACTCACACGACTCTAAGAGTCTGGAAGAAGCAGGGGAGGAGGAGGAGGAGGAGGAGGAGGAGGAGGAGGTGGTGGTGGTGGTGGCGGCTGCGGGGGCTGCAGAGGAAGGAAAACATGGAGACGAGCAAGCACAGAGGCAGCAGCAGCAGCAGCAACAACAACAACAACAACCAGATAGCTTTGCTTCCGGCACATGGAAGGACGCGCAGCAGATCGGCTCATTTGGCATAGAGGAGCCAGTGGAATCGACGACAGCGAATGCACAGCAACAAAAAGATGAAACGACACCCCCGCGACAGGCGTCGCAAATGAACGAATCCGGCGAAACAAACGGTGCCGGCGATGCGGATCTCTTCTCGCTGCGGAGTGGGAGCAGCGCGCATAGCGACCTATACGATGCCCTTTTGGGCAGAAGTGCCTTGCCGCTCCAGAGGTGGAACCGGGGCGACACCAGCAACCCCAACGGCATCGCTGGTGCTCAGGATGGCAGTGCTGCGGATGGCAATCACCGGGCCTCTGCGGTGGTTCAGATCGACGCGGCTGAGGGGAGCGAGCCCTGCTGCGATCATTACGAGCCGGACATGGGCGGTGACGTTGACAGCACAGAGAAGCAGCAGTGGCTGCAGGTGCCGGCACTCTTCTACCTCGTCTTTACCCTCATCAAACTGCACGAGGTGCAGCATCGGCCGTGTGAGTCATCATGGATCCTAAACGACCCGTCTACGTCGACGCTGCGGCCACCGACGGTTGGGGGGGCTTCTGGCGTGTCGCCCGCTGTGCTGCAGCATCTCCACATGCAGCTCACACACGCTGTGCTGGAGGTGAAGGGTGTGCTGCTGAAGCCCTATCTTACGCATTGGTCTGATGCGAGACTGCGCAATTTCGTCGCGGATGTCGTGCGGGCGTGGGAGAAAGACGGCCCACAGAGCCCTGCCTTCGAAGAGGCGTCCTTCCGTCTGTTGAGTGTTGTGTCAGCGGACCGCAGTGGCCACGTAACGCACACGCTGACATACCGCCTGTGGGACTCCGTCGGCGCAGGTGCTCACTCTCACCTGCTCTTTGGCTGTACAATTGCTGTGCTGTGTGTCACTATGGTGTGCCTTGTCGTGCTCGGCGTGTTGGGTGGGACCTACCTTGCGTTGCGTATTGCAATGACACTTGTGGTGGGCACGACGGTGCTGTTCCTCGGCGGAGCAGGCGTCCTACTGCTGGACCGCAGTGCGGTTTCGGAGGAGTTATGGGAATTCTCTCGTGCTGAGATGATGAACGGTGTGGCAGGCGCCATGCAGGAGTTCAATGAGTACGACAGTTACGTCTCCTACATCCACAACAGCGTGAATAACAACACCATGGAACACACCCCATTACCGCGTCATCACCGTATTGGTGAGACCGGAGAGCAGGATGCCAGTCAGTTGATGAATGTGGACGGTGAGGGTGTGGAGGTTGGTGGTAGTGGTGGTGATGGAATGGGTGGCTTGTACCGAGGCAACAGTGGGGCCCCTGCGGTGTTCTACAACGGTACGCCGTGTAGATTGAAGGAGAGTCCACAACAGTACCAGCAGCATCCTCATCATCAACATGATAACAACAGCGAACTCGGTACGCCATTGAGTCCCAATGAACATAACCGCAGGACAACTGCATATTCAATGCCTTCTCCAGCGGAAACAGACAGAGGGGTAAGAGACCCACTAAATGAAGAATGGAAATGGGAAGACGGCAAGATGCCAGCGGATAATGGACAGAATGAGGTTACTGAGAATAAGTATTACCGCGCACAGAAAGCCCGGCAATGGTACGAGGATCAAAGCAGCATGCGTCAAGAAGATAATATGCTCTTTAGTGCGCTCCGCCCACTGCAAAACGAGAGGATGCTGGAAGGTGACCGCTACAATGCTCTTCTTATGAGCCGACTCAGCTTTGAACAGCAGCAAATGACAGAGGAGCGTATAAAAGATAGAATGCTGCGGAGCTGTATTGGCAACATGAGCGCGGTGGGGCGCCGTTACTCTCACTCCCAACCAAAGCTGCAGCATCAAACGCAAACGAGCTCCTCGAGCAACTATGCAGAGGACAAAGAGATCACGGACACGGCCCCTACACTGGGTTCACGTGACCAAGGTTCCTTCCTAGGGGCTGATGGCTGGGTGGGGACGTCCCACGGCTCCGGCCAGCTCACTCTTTTCTCGTCGCGGGTGATGCGGGACAGTATTATGGGCAGCGGCGTAGACGCCCTTGCCATCACGGCACTCATGTACTGTCGCAGCCGCAGCAACATGCTGGACGATGTTCTGCGCATGTTGTGGAGCTCTAACTTCCTTGTGTTGCAGCGGCCCACGCTTGAGGCCCTCGATGAGGCCTTCCGCCGCGGGTCAGAGCGTTTCAAGGTGCTGCTGCTGCATGCCCCCGACCTTGACGCGGCACAACTGCGTGTTGCGCTGTCGTGGCTGCTGCACGACCGCCGCCCTGTCTTCTTCTTCGCTGCCGCGCTGAGCATGATGCCGGTGGAGGTGCCGTACGCCTCCCGCCTCGAGATGCCGCTGACATTGCGCGACGTGGAGGTGCTGCTCTTCTCCGGCATTGGCGTCGACGAGGAGATGAACAGCGTCAGCATTTTCCGCCCGTCCAAGCGCTTCAAGGTGCCGCCGTACACGCTCGGCCGCCGCCTCGGTGGGGGTGCGTTCGGCAACGTCTTCGAGGCGGAGATGGAGGTGACGGGGGCGCGCTGCGCGGTGAAGCGGATGTACCTGCGCGACGACCGCGAGGGCGAGCCGCACGGGCACGACAGCCAGCTCAAGGAGATCGCGCACGAGGTGGAGATCATGAGCTCGCTCAGCCACCCCAACATCGTGCAGTACCTCTTCTGCGAGCGCGACGACAACTGCGTGTCCATCTTCATGGAACTCTGCTCCGACGGATCGCTGAGCGAACTCATCGCACACGGCGGGCTTCGCTCCGCGGAGCAGGTCCAGTCGATGCTGTGCGACGTGATTGGCGCCGTCGCATACCTGCACGGCAAGCGCATCGTGCACCGCGACCTCAAGCCTGAGAACGTGCTGTTCCGCGACGGCCGCGCCAAGGTGAGCGACTTCGGCACCGCCGTGTTGAAGCGCGGTGGACTGACGAACGTGAAGGGGACGTTCGCGTACATGGCGCCGGAGGTGCTGCTCGGCGAGACGTACGGCAAGGCGTGCGACGTGTGGTCAATCGGCTGTATCGCCGCGGAGGCGCTCACGGTGTCGCTCAGCCACCGCGCCCTCGGGCTGCCGGAGATGTGTGAGAAGTACCGCCAGATGTCGCTGGATGAGACGCTCGGCTTTGACTGCGA